CAGAGTGAGAGGAAGAGGAACATTTTGTTCATTTGACACTCCAGATGATGCAACTAGAAACAAGTTAATTACAATAGCCAGAAACAAAGGTAAGAACGCTGTGTGTGGATTAGCTTCAAGTGACAAGCAGTAGTGTATGTAATGTTTTAAATTTTGCTTTTTGCTATGGGGTATGTGTACTACAATTATGAACAAAACTGTATTTAACTTTTCTGGAAATACTTACATTTTCTAGAAACATCAGACCAGTCTGCTCCATGGTGTGTGTTTACCTTTCTGTGTATGTCTAACATTGCTGAAGAGCTCCATCTAGGGCAAGAGTTTTTGCGACATCCCTTTCATATTCCTTTGCAGTGACCCTAGGTGCACCCAGGCACACATTACTTCTAGACACAGATCAGGAAAATGGGAAGAAAGCTAATGTAAGTGTCACTCAGGAGAAAGGGAGGAAAAGATAGGAATTTTATGGAATACCCAAGAGTGAAATACAATGTGCTGCCTAAAATGGGCACAGATCTACAACTACATCCCTCTTTTACAGAGCTCATGACCAGCTGTAGAAAAGCCCAGGTATCTGAAGCCCAATGTGCCCATTGAATTTAACTGTGTGGGGGCCCTGGGTTTGCTGCTGTCAGTTTTTGCTGTTACTCGTATCTCTTGAAGCGGGCACGATGCATCTAAACTATTGTGAAAGCACAATTTTAAAGACTGATATTTTTTTTATTCTTGGAAACGAAGCCAGCAGGGAGAGAAGGCGAGTGGTTTGTTTCATGGTAACCAAGGCTCTGACTAAAGGCAAGGCAAGCTCAGCTCTGTGCCATGGAGTTTTCAAAGAATTTAATTGATTCTGGGGTAAAAACAATACCATGCACTTTAAGTACTGCAGGAAGTTGTTTGCCAGCACTGAGCTATTTTAATATTTTGTCATTAAAAATGAAGTAGCTTGCAATTTTGTTTAGAAGAAACCTATTGTGTCACTTTGTGGCACTGCGGTACTTAACCGGTACAGCATGGCAGCTTTGAAGGCTCAGATGCTGTTGGAGGTCTTTCCACTGCTGTTTAGATTAGTCCCAACATTCCAGGTGTTTTAGCTACAGGCACCCACTGTGTTCTAAGTTGCTGTGCAGCTTGAGGCCCTTTTGAACCCCTGACTGCGTGCTGTATTGCTGTGTGGTTAGCAGTGATCTGGGGAGTTCTCCCAGCCCCTGCAGTGAGATGAACCTCGTTTTCTGGCTATTTGGCAAGGATGGAAATGACTAGAGGACCTGTTCTACGCTTGATTTAGGTGTTGTGCTGGGAGGCTGTGGCGACAGATCAATTCGTTTCCGTCCAACGCTGATCTTCAAGGATCACCACGCACACCTCTTCCTGAACATTTTCAGTGACATCTTAGCAAACTTCAAGTAAAAGCAGTTCCCTCGCACTGAACGCTGACTATGAAATTAGTTTGCATTAATTCATGTCTTCTCTACTTACGAGATAAGTGTAAAGTCATAAACTAAGGTTTGTGTTCTGTCTGTAATCCTGCCCAAGGCAAGCTGCTCCATGCAAATTCAACCCAGGCAGAGCATTGGTACTGGGCACCAGCAGGTACATGCAGCTATCCCGCACTGTGCGTTCGTAGATGCTGTGGCCCTCCATCTTCTGGCTTGGGTCATACTAATTGCAGAGTCCTCTCTACATTCATGGTCCTGACTATTTGATAGTCTGAATATGACCTGGTACAGTCTGTTTGCACACGTAATCCTGGCACATTTACTCTTGTATCCAGAAGCAGCCACAAGCCTGCCATACAGAAAGTGCCATTCTCTAATGGTAGCTGGAATAAACCCAGTGTTTCAAGGAAAGCTCTGCTTTCCCACACTGCCAAACACACTGTTTTACAGTTTTATGCCCCTGAACTCCTGTCATACCAACTGGATCAGGACACCATCAACTACTCTCTGCCCAACTTTCAGCCTGCACACACACCACTTCAGAGGCACTAATGCACTCAGCCACATGTGCAGTGCTGTACATGCAACTCAAGTACTCATGCTTCTTCCCTTGTCCTGGATTTTAAAACTTTTGACTTCTCTTACAATCAGACTTGTGCAGAGAAGACTACACCTCGAAGTATCTCATTTGAGAAAGCTTAGAGAATTGTGTGAAGCACATTATTACCACCTCTCAGCAACCCAGAATGAATTGCTGCCATTTACCCCAAACCACACAACAGGCATTCATTTATCTCTTACACATTCTACACAAATACTTGAGGCATTTTGGAAAACTACTAAGCAGAATTGCTTGATCTTGCCAGTTACCTGATGTGGGAGCCACTACAGTGAAGGCCTAGTCCTAACTGCACATCTGTAATACAGAGTACTTCTGTGTTTGTTCTAACAGTTTATTCTGTCATTGATACTTAAAGAGATCTTCTAGAAGGCCACAGATCAAAAAGTGTCAACAGTTTGTCAATACATTTCTCCTCAGAATTGTTTTAGATGTCTCTTTACTATGTGCTCTTTGTTGTTTGCTTAAGGCTGACCTGAACTAGGTCTAGTGCCTTTTTTACCCCCTTTTCTTGGCTAGCAAATATCTGCATTTTGCTTAATAAGTTTAACTTTATGTTGTGCGCCAAAAAACAGGGACCACAGTGGATTTTAAAGCTGCCCTATTATGATCTGACCACAATTTTTAAGAACATAATGAGACAGAGCATTAAAATGTCTACGTTTAATACAGTTACCAAAATATGAGAGGTTTCTTACCTGCTTTGAGAAGTATTAATTGTGGTTTTCCTGTTTTATTTCTTGAGTGCTGGTAATGGGAAACCCCAGTACACTCACTTCTGCTAGCCTAAAAACAATGGTATTTCTGTAGACCTCTGCAGAAACAGGAATCCTGCTACCAGCTGGTCAGAACCTGAGCAGGTTTTTGAACAGAGGTTGTAGAAATCTGGGGGGAAGGACTTGTAAACTGGTGTTCAGCACAACCTCATTGTCATTGCTGTCCTTGTTAAGTGTATTATCAACAAGATGAAAGTCAAACTGAGAACTGTATTTGACAGCATTTTGGGAATTAGTTTGTTTAACATATCAGTGCAGTAGTTTTAGTAAATGTCTCTAGCAAGTCTTGTACTTTTACAGAAGCAGGGGTCCAGTAATTTGAAGTCTTACCACATCTTCACTTTTATTATGAATACTCTAGGTGTTTTTATAATTTTTACTGACACTCAGTAACTGTATAATTGTGTACATGTTGATGAAATCATGTTAGAGAATAACTTAGGAAGCACTGCAGCTGAAGCATATAAAGTTACTATTGTTTACAGCATCCTGTGGACAGTGCCAAATAGACGTTGAGACGAATACTTAACTACACTTCATCGTGTAACTAGTAACTGTACACAGATTGGTAACAAATGACATCTCGTGTAATCAGTATTCTTAAATAAAATATTTATAATGGAACTTCTGCAGGCTTTTCATTTTACACCTAGTACCTTCCTAAACTGAAGCGCTGGTGCATATTAAATATATTCTAATGAAGATAAGCCTTCAAAAAACATGATGGCTGCTTACAGTTTGCTGTATTTTGCTGCAGTGGTGTTTTAGCCATGGAACCACTTCTCCTTTTGCTGTTGCTTTACCATACAGTGTCAGCCAAAATTTAAAACAATGGAGTTCCCATTAGGAAAAGTTCAACACAAATCAATAGTAAATCAGGGTTAGCCCACGCAGTGACATGGCATTTTTACTTACCTGCATCTGCTGACCCACCAAGAGATGCAAATTTCAATATGCATGAGGAAGTCACAGGGAAAAGAACACTCCAAATGTCTCTGTGGGTGAGGGCTGGCTTATTTGCTGTGAATTAACAGCTAGAAGAGCAGTGTAAGGAGCTCAGCTAGTAAGCAGATGTGACTTTACATCCTGCTCCTCATTTCTATGGTTTTGGTTTTGCAAAAGGAGGAATCATGCCAACAACTATGGAATTAGACCACTGACGCAGTGTACTGTGTCACAGACACAGGTACTCAGCCCTGCAAGCACAATGGAATACAAAGCATATAAAAATATAAAGCATATAAAAATAACAGCCTTAATTCAACACTGCTTTCAGATGTCATACTTTTTTTTGTTTCCTTTCAAGTAAACTCAGACTGGGGGAATAGGGAGTGGAAAGGGTATTTGGCAAAGGAGCTTTTGATGTTAAAATATGCCCAAATGGGTAAACACATCAAGGCTATATAGTAACCTTCAAGAAGACAGCTTTGTTCATAGTACAAGGTAATTTTGGTAACATTTACTGAAGTTTTTGCAGCTCTTGTTACAGCACTGATTAAATGTTAGTCACAAAACAAACACAAACATGAGTATGTGCAAAGCAGGTCGGTCCAAATTTTCAGATGATCATGAGGATCCAAAGTGAATAAAGGCTCTCAGGCTGTCCTTGTAATCCACAGCATCACAGTTTACAGTTTAGGTATGTTTTCCCTTGGTTTCTATGCGCAGCCCCTGAAATACCATCCCAGTCAGTACCTTATCCTTACACCTGAACTGTCCATGTGTCTTGCAACATGTTTTGCCCCATTATGTTCATGTCCTGGAAGACCCTGCCAAGGGACCCCATACGCTGCATCCAGCACTGTATGTTGCTCCTCCCAGTCATCCCAATTTCATTAATGCATGAGGATGTAGCTTGCTGACATCCAGCATTGTCGTATGTATGTACATATGAGTTTTAATTTCAAGAGGCTTCCCAGACAAACTGAAATGTGCTGAAAGAAACAATTAATTGAGGCTGTCCTGGCAGCACTTCACAAGAGTTTTCCCTGTTTCAGAACCATCTGATGCCAGCAGGAACAGCTGGGGTCAGTAGCAGTAATTAATACAGCGTCCCACTGCACCTTCCAAGTAGGGCACTTTGAACTGCTGGTGACAGTGCACCAGGCAGGTCACTATCTGACATGGAAGAGACACTGATCATACCTTAAGCTACAAAGCCACGATTGCTCTTTAGCACTGCTACTTTATACACCAAGTGCACTTACCAGCCAGCTTTGCATAGGAAAATGACAGATGTCACTTTGGTAGTTAAAACTTCACAGAAGAATAAGCACAATGAACATGCAACAAGGAAAATCACTGGAAATCAGCTGCTGTATCACTCAGGTTCTCCAAATATTTGAATAAACTTCTGTCTGTCTACAATCTGGCCAAACCTAAGTGTAAAGTATAAAACGTCTGTACTGTTATAGCGTTTGAACTGGAGAAGTAGCTCCCCTTTGCTATCTCCAACTTCATCCAGAGGTATCACTGTCTCTAGGGGACAGTAAATGTCATTCCGTCTTCCCCAAAACGTCAAGTGGGCCACTTTAACCGTACGGCCAGTTTCACTTAAGTACATTAATCCAATAATTCGTCTGAAAAAGTAGCTCATACCATACAGCACTGCACCAGCAAAGAATGCGATGCCAGCTGTATACAAGAAGATACCCTGAGAAACCTGGTCTTGCAGGTAGAGGTAGCAGACAGGCGGCAGCATGAGCAGGGTGGTGCCGGTCTGCAGCAGCTTCAGTCGGGACACCATCCGGCAGTACTTGATCCCTGGGAACCTGTACACCAACTTGAACTCTTCTGCTTTCCCATCTGCTGCCTTTTGCCTGACCATAGCAGTGGGGGCCAAGTGGCACAGACAGGCAGACGGCTCTCTCTGTCTCCCGGGATAATTATTAACGCTGTTAATGTGCTGGTTTTGTGACTGCAAACGCACCCATGCACCACACAACCAGGGCAGGTGCACATCCTCTTTCTTCCGTGACTTTGTCCAGAGCTCCTTTTGTAGACATCTCCCAAAAGCTGGTGCCATGCAGGTCTTCATCCTAATTCTGCAGAGCCTAGCCTATAAGGAAACATTCCCACAGGTCATCATTTGAGCTGTCTTTAGGACCAAACCCCCCTTCGGTTCAGAACCTGCTCCTCAGGCACCCAAGGACAGCAAGCAGCAGCCCCAGCTGACTGTAACCTTGTAGTTACAACCAGCGTTATGTTAGGAAGCTGGTATTCATGCCTGCAGCTGAGGAGGGAAAACACTTCTGGGAACATAGCTGATAACCAGAGCAAGCTTCCTGAACACAGGCTCACGGCATCTCTGCCTGTGTCTTTGAGCAACACCCAAGCAAAAGCCCCAGCACCACAGGCTGCCTCTAAGCAAAGAGGGTAAGAGAACGTGGGGCTGCTAGCCAGGGGTGTGTTAAACAATCACTTCAATGACAATTTTAAGGCAACAGGGAAGTGTTAACCACAATGGAGCAGAGCAAGCGCCGCGCCGCAAGAGGGCCCTGAGGAACACGAGGAACGTGCGGAACAACACAAAGGCAAGAAAGGGAGCTCCCCCGCTGCCCTCACGCTCGCACACGCCCGACACCGTTCCTGCAAGGACGCGAAACCACGCGGACAGCAACGGGCACGGCCACGGGCACGGCCCCGGCCCGAGGGCACCGCTCTAGAGCCGGCCTGCACCTCGAGGGCGGGAGGCCGCCGGCAGACACCGCGGCTCCACTCCTCACTGAGGCGGCCCGGACCCGTTGCGGGCGCCTCACAGGCGGCACCGCTCGCCCCGCGCCCGGGAAAGGGAAGGAGAAAAGGAAAGGGAAGGGGAAAGGGTTAACGGAGCACCCCGCTCACCATTGCCATTACTCCAGCATCCCACATGCGCCTGCGCCACAGCGTCCACGGGCGGAGCGTGTCCCCGCTTCCCGTCGTGCCCCGCGTCTGGCGGGCCAGGCCGGGGTTATGGCGGCGGCGGAGCCGTCCGTGCTGTGCCTGTTCGACGTGGATGGCACCCTCACCGCGCCGAGACAGGCGAGTGCTCCGCGCCGGGGCCGGGAGGGGCGCGCTGGGGCGGGCACACCAGGCAGACCGCTCCCGGCGGGCACGGGCCGCTCCTCAGGGCTGCCAGCCCCGAGGGAACACAGCGTTCTGCATCCTCTCCCCGCAGTGCTGGGTGTGCTAACCACCGTTTAAGGCGAAACACCGTACCCTTTTTAAAGATCCGCACGGCGCGGCTGGTTTAATCGTTGTTGCGAACGGGAGGTGCCACGGTGAGGGCGCTGACAGCTGGTTTTGTCTTGGCACTTAGAAAATCACGGCGGAGATGGCGGCGTTCCTGCAGGAGCTGCGGCGGAGGGTGAAGGTCGGAGTGGTGGGAGGCTCTGACTTCGAGAAGATCAAGGAACAGCTCGGGGATGACGGTGAGGACAGCGGCGGCGGCCCGGGCGCGGGAGGCTGCGGCTGAGCATAGTTAACCCTGTCCATGGTCCCGCCGCGCTGCTAGCGCTGCCTGGCTTGGCTGTGTCACACTGGGGCTTTGAAGGGCCGCTTACAGGCGTTTAGAGAGCGCAGGCTGTGACTGCGTCCGCAGGTACCTCGGTATCTTGTTCAAGGGTTGTTACTAACAGTGACATCCTGACTCGGTGACAGTACCGTGGGAGGGCGTTTGACCACCGTGGGATTCCGTACAGAACAGGTACAGGTGCAGGGTGCTCAGCTGTGGAGCGCTTCCCTGAGAATCTGGGTTTGTTAACTGCAGGGTGCTGATGCAGAGATGGACTCTCAGCTTCAGACCTTTGAGAGGCATTTCATTTTCTGTATATAAGGCTGCCTTTAATGGTCTTTATTTAACTGATGACACAAATATGCCTTTGGTAATGCCCAAGTAATGCAGAATTTGTTTGACTTACAAGTGCTCTCCAGTAACCCATATCCTCATAGAATCATCAGACTCAGAATGGTTTGGGTTGGAAGGGACCTTAAAGCTCATCCAGTTCCAACCCCCTGCCATGGGCAGGAACACCTTCCACTAGACCAGATTGTGCCAAGCCCTGTCCAACCTGGCCTTGCACCATAGTAAGACCCTCACAAGTCTCACATCTGCTGCAAATTAGTAACCCTGAGAAAGGAAACCTCAGAGGGTAGTACTTGACGTGCTCTCTAGCCAGGCTGTGTGCCAGGCTTCTGTAAAGTTTGAGGTGTTAAGTCACTTCCTTATCATATGATGCAAAGAGGCATATTTGCAGGAGAGGAAGAGCCTTTAAGCAAACCCACAGGCTTCATGTGATTTGAAGTGTGTGCTAATCGTGGAGTGAAATGAGAGTGACTTTGATCTCGTGTTCAGTGTTACGTTGCTGAGTCTTTCATTCTGTATGATATAATGTTTGCTGGATTTTAACCTATTTAATACAATTTAACCTATTTAATACAATTCAGCATTAGACATACAGTGGAAGTGAGAAGTTACTGTCTTTTGTTTGGTTGTAGTGGTTGAAAAATTTGACTACGTTTTTCCAGAAAATGGCCTTGTAGCCTACAAAGATGGGAAATTCTTGTGCAAGCAGGTAAGGGAACTTGCCAGTGACACGGAAGAGACATTTTCTAAACAAAACTTTGCTTTGTGGCTACACTGCAGTCCCTTATAATCATCCTTCTAACTAAGGCCAGCGTGGCTGCTGTTCTCATGTGTCGTCTCTGTAACACATCACAGAATCACAGAATGGTTTGAGTTGGAAGGGACCTTAAAGCTCATCCAGTTTCCAGTTCCACCCCCCTGCCACGGGCAGGGACACCTTCCACTAGACCAGATTGCTCCAAGCCCTGTCCAACCTGGCCTTGAGCACTGCCAGGGATGGGGCAGCCACAGCTGCTCTGGGCACCCTGTGCTAGCGACTCAGTACCCTCACAGGAAGAACTTCTGCCTAAGAGCTCATCTCAATCTCCCCTCTGTCAGTTTAAAGCCATTCCCCCTTGTCCTGTCCTTACAGATCCTTGTCAAAAGCCCTTTCCAGGTTCCTTGTAGCCCCTTTAGGCTACAAAAAAAGGCTCTCAAGTCTCCCTGGAGCCTTCTCCAGGCTGAGCAAGCCCAGGTCTCTCAGCCTGTCTCCAGAGCAGAGGTGCTCCAGCTTTCTGGTCATCTGGCTTTCATTTGGCACTCTGATTCATGTAATGACAGTCTGCACCTCCAGCTTTATTCGTATTGATTGGTTTAAAAAAGGGAGATAAAGAGGAAAATGAGAGCCTTCAGTTAGCACCATGTGTGAATCAACTGAGAGCTACTTACTGAAGGCATGTTCCTTTGTGGTATTAACTGTGCCCGATTATACAGTATCTGTGTTTTCCACGTGACTTGTTAGAATCTCTCATTCTGGACCTTGACTGGTGTTTTATCTGTTAGAGCATTCAGGGGTACCTGGGTGAGGACATACTTCAGGATCTGATCAACTACTGCCTGAGTTACATTGCAAAGATTAAACTGCCAAAGAAAAGGTATGTGTGTACACACACCAGTGTCACCATGTTCTGTGTGCTGTAGTGTTGAACATCCATGTGTAAAGCAGGCTGCTCGGCAAAAAACTAACGATCCTGTTGATTTTGGAATTAAATTTCATTGTAATACTCGGTATTTCGACCAATTTTTCATCTGTTTTCTGTCTCAACCAATTCTTTTTCAGGGGCACTTTTATTGAGTTCCGAAATGGGATGTTAAATGTGTCCCCCATTGGAAGAAGCTGCAGCCAGGAAGAACGAGTTGAGTTCTATGAACTTGATAAAGTGAGTTACAACTCTTGAAAACTATCCAGCTCTTCTGAAGAGGTAGTTATGGCCAGGTTATGAGATTTAAAAAGCTTTTATACTTTGTGCCTTTCTAATTTTTCTTTTCATTTTAACCCTTTCCATGTGGTTTAACCAACTTCCTCCGGTCAGATTTCAGGAAATCAACAATACTTTCTTTGTTGCACTAGCAAACAGTGATTACTTGCAGAAGGGATGGGTTTGGCTGAACCTATATCCAGAGTACCAAACATCCTACTTCTGCAGGACGCTCCTGAAAAACCCTCTGAGAGATAAAACCATACTTACGTGGAGCGCTCTTCAGGATACCAACCTACATCCATGCAAATCAATGAAACTATTCCGTTTCTTGTCAACTCTTTAAAACCTGTTAAAGCAGAATTTAAAATCTGAGGCCAAACTCTTCACCATTTATTTTCCTTTGCACACAGCTAAATGAATTTGAGCTGTGGTATCAGAGTTCTGTTCCCTGCTACACTGTCACAACTGTTTCGGACCCAGGACAAAAAGTGAGGTTCAGACCCTCAAAAGAAGACTTTGCCTGAGTCTCAGTTAATGAATGCTGAAAGATACCCAAGCCCAAAGCATTCTGAAAACATCCATATACTCCCATTTTGCAGCATCAGAAGATTAGTACCAGGTTTGAGACTTCCTATGCCCCAGTCTCCCCATGTGTAAAACTGAATTTTACCACGAGTTAAAGCATACTTCCTTGGCATTCTCAGATTTTCAGCTAGAAAAGTAAATAACATGGCATCTAAATGAAGTTTTGCTCTCATTTTTGACAGGCTGGTAACCAATTAAAGTGGAAATATTCTCAGTGTGCTTTCAGTGATAATAAAATGTGGCTCTAGCACACCAGTCCTGATTACCCAGACCTCTGGATGTTTTTGGGGTGGTTTTTTGGGTCATCTTTTTATTGATGAATTAATACAGATGCTTGGTTTTGTTGTGCATTTGTTTTTTTAACAGAAGGAACATATAAGAGAGAAATTTGTAGCTGATTTACGAAGAGAATTTGCAGGAAAAGGCCTCACATTTTCTATAGGTATCATATTAAAAAAATGTCATTTAAAATGTCATTTAATTTAAATGTCACTTAGTATATGTCATAGCCATAAGAGGGTATGACTTCTCTTCTGTATGACAGATCTCTCTCTGGAGGTGGCTGCAGGCACTGCATGCAAGACTAAGCCTCTTTTTCCTCTTAGGCTTTCATGTGGTACATTGTAATTGAAATCCATCAACAGAGATAACGTCATTGCTTGTCATCAGTTCATTGTCTTTTATTGTCAGTTGGGTGACTGATTCTGCTCATTTTGAAGCAGGTTACATGCTTCTGATTAGTCAGAGTTGTTTCTGCATATCAATTTTGATCAGAAATGTTCTATCAGTACTGTTCCAGTAGCCCTTGGTTCTTTAGCCCTGTAGCTTTGTGTGAGAAAGGAAAGAGATTCCAAAAGCAAGTGCAGTCTTAAAGCGATATAATGGAGAATTACTTTTCCATGTGTTTCTTTTTTTCCCTCCCTTTCCCCCAGTATATTACCACATTCTTGCCATTTATTATTTTTCAGAATTATAAAAAAGTATGGTTGCTGTTAGTGCTGTGGTATGGAAACAATGAGGCAGAAATGAACTGCAGTATGGTTCTCCTAAAGCATGTTGTAAATAATCTTTTGACACCTGCTTCAACTGGAAATGATGCTTTTATGCATGGGTAAAGCCCAAGGATTTGGAACTGAAGCATTTGTTGTTCTGTCAGGCTGTGTTAAAAAAGCTGATTTTCTCCTTTTTCTATTCTGAAGCTTTAGCAAGTCTTTTGCACAAGACCTTATGGCTGTACATAGACCAATCGCTGTATTCAGTCATGTAGTTTCTTCCTAAAGTTAAAAAGATTAAATGTAATTTTTAAATAAAGGTTCAGTTTTGGGAGCCATGAGTGCTTGGGAACATGCTAAGACTTTCATTATTTGGTTAATGGGTAAGTAATAATCTGTAAATCACAACTAATAACTGATACCCTATGGAACACTTGCTGTAAGACTTAACTCCAGGGTCTTATCTCTGACTTCTGCAGAGCTCCCTCTACCAAAAATCTCACCCAGTTTAGGTTTTCTCACTTACTCTTCCCTCAGGAATATGTTCTTATAGTAAAACATTAACAAAACAAACAAATTATAACAACACATTAACAACAGCTTGGTTCATGTCTGTCCTAGGAGGCCAGATAAGCTTCGATGTGTTCCCAGATGGCTGGGATAAGCGGTACTGCTTAGGAATCGTTGCCAGTGATGGATACAAGACCATTTATTTCTTCGGAGACAAGACTATGCCAGTGAGTGTACTGTTTTGTGCGTGTATTTCAGAGCTTTTCTTTTAAAGAAAACCCACGAGCACTGTGGGTTGTAACCAACTGACAGGAATTGAAGTCAGAATATAAACATATGTCTGTGTTTACCTCGTTGTGGGTTACTGGTCAGCGCAGTGCTGGGACACAGCTGTGTCACTTCTGTTTCCTGAAGTGAACACCATGTTCTTGACAGACTTTATAATAGAGTTTGGTTTTAAATTGAACTTCTATAATTCTGTTAAAAACCTAGGTGACATGACTGTGTAAAACATTACTAAGTTTGGTTATTGTAGATTGATGGTTCTTGTTGACTGGTGTTTATTAAACATTGATTTTTCCATTGAATTTAATACTATTCCTTTGCTAACCACTCTGTCTCCACATTGAGGAGCTGAAATTACACATAACCCCTGTCCCTAGGCACTGGGCTGAGCTAAACACCTCTGCAGGGCAAGTTAGAGGCTTTTCTAAACGGTGAACAGAGACCTGTCTAGAGCCAGTGAGTGCAACGGCAAGCACAAGGGTGAAATGCAAGTTGTCTGAGCATGGCTGAGGGATGGTGTCAGGCTAAGATTTAGCAGAAAAGGCTTAGTTTTATAGGAACTTACAATTTCTGTAATTTACAAAGAACGTTATAGCTTTATAAACATAAAAGGCCAAATCTTACAAGAAGCTTTAAAGGGTTTTTCCCCCCTTGAAATGAGCTGGAAAATTAATCACCTGTCCCTCTGGCATAGAACTATGGACAGTTGGTTTTAAACCCCTGGAAGAGGCAGTGCAGCATTTAAAGAGTTTGGAAGTAGCCAGAGCTGATGCTGCCTCACTGGGAAGCCATGTGGCAAGCAATTTACAAATTATTAGGAGACTGCTTCTTGTGATGCATGAAACTGCAGCTTTCACGGGGCCCTGCTCATGCAGGTGCCTCTGGCTTTGCTCCCTGCACCAGCTGTGAAAGGACTGTTAATGCATCCCCTGATCTGAAACCAGTTATAAATGTCACATCAGACCAGTAGTCACAAGGCCAAAAGATTACTGCAATAGCAAGAGTTCAAGTCTTAACAATGATGTATAACTAAAAGGAAAGAAGACCAAGTTGGAAGGAAGAGAATAATGCAAAAGAAGTTACAAATACCATGTGCTGGTATAGTGTCCTGTAACAAGCTTTACACCCTGGTGTTAACAAGTGAACAATCTCTAAAAGTCAATTACACAAAACTATAAACAGAGGTAAAGTTCTACTCTTCCTTTACCAGTGCTAATGTGCAGGGCAGGAAGCTCTCATGCAAGTGTGTGGTATTCAGCTGAAGGTTTGGCAGAGCTGTGCTATAGACACATCATGCAAAAATCTCACACTGGAGATTTGCAGGTTTTTAGCTTTCTGGAAGACTATCTCAGACGTGACAGTGTTAGCAAAGAAAGGTTTTGGTTGGAAGGGACCTTAAAGCTTGTCCAGTTCCAACTCTCTGCTACAGGCAGGGACACCTTCCACTAGACCGGGTTGCTCCAAGCCCTGTCCAACCTGGCCTTGAACACTGCCAGGGATGGGGCAGCCACAGCTTCTCTGGGCACCCTGTGCCAGTGCCTCAGCACCCTCACAGGGAAGTTTTTCCCAGCATCTAATCTAGTTCTCCAGTCTGTCAGTTTAGAGCCATTCCCCCTTGTAAAAAGCCCCTTCTTTCCATAGTTTCCTTTGTGTGTCCCCTTTCCCCCCCAAGTCTGTGACTGTACATTAAGTTAAATAGAATTAAATCCTCTTCTCCCTTTTTCCTCATCTGTTTTCAGGGAGGGAATGACTATGAAATTTACACAGACTCCAGAACAGAAGGCCACAGCGTCACATCCCCACAGGATACAAGAAGAATCTGTGAAGAGCTCTTTTTTAAATAAGACTTTTAGGATTCACACTGATAAAATGGTTAAGACACGCTAATAACTTAAATCTGTCTTCCTGATGTTTTTTTGTAATTGGTCATGAATAGCAAGTGCTTTGCAGGTCAGTCATGACTGAAGGGAAGTACGTTGTTGCTCAGTGGTAGAATACAGCAGAGCTCATTGAGTACCATCCTATCCCTGTGCCCATTCACAAAGGTACTGTTTTCTTGTTGATTGTGGGTTTTGGGCTGGGTTTTAAGACATCAGTAAACTTAGCTAACTAATCACATTGGGCGGGGGGGAATTATCTGATTTATAATCTCAAAATTAGCCTGCAAGGCTTTTATTAAGCTGCTATTTAAAAGATGAATGTTTTAGAGTTGGCTGGCGTTTTTTTAAATGCTACCTTTTGCTATAAAATCCTGAATTACGTGGCAGATGTGATTTTTTTGTTTAAAACTGGCAGATGAGTAAAAGAGAGGTGTTCTTTCTCTCTGGGGCTAGGAAGACAGAACTGCGTGGTTGGAACGTGCATCAGTTCTACCACCACTGGAACAGCTGTCACTGTCACACTGCTGTCACTGATTACAATTCCTGATAGGACATTAAGAGCAGGTGAGATTTTAGTACTAAGGACAGTGATGTAAACTGTTAAATTTCAAGTTGAAGCATGACAATCTGTAACTGTTAATACTACTTGTCACATCTGGCATTAGGAAAGCAATCTTGTTTAAAGCAGTTTCATTTAGTAAAGGAGAATAAAAATCTCATAACGAAAAATTACTATTTCAATTTGTCATTGTGGCAAAAAAAATACGTAAAGCAGACGTGTTGTGTGCTGGCTGTCTGCACAGAAAAATGATTGACTTGAATCTGTCAAAGTTTATTTGATCCTTATGCAGTAAGAAAGGGGAGAACACCATCTTTATGTACAAACTATAATCCCCAGAGGGCTTACAGAACAGGTGGGGGAGCTGCGTTGCCCTTCTGCATGGGAACTGTCTGTCTTCAAACACCGTTTTCATGTGCCTACTTCCAGAGTAACTGAGTCTCAGCTATTTCCATGGGAGCAGACTTCAGGCCAGAACCACCTGTAGGGCCCAGAGGCTCTGTAAAGGTGGCCAGATTTTAGCAGCTGCTGCTTTGTATGATTGCGCTTGGGAAGTATCTGATGGCTTGGTTATGCTGCTGCATGGTTGTGTCCTGTAGTTGTAGAATGTTACCTATGCAAAATACCCTGTGCAGGAACAAACACAGATTTGTTCTCAGCCTCAAATACCATCACCTGTGTGCACATACCTGCACATTTGAATGGTAAAAGCTTGCTAGTGGGTCTTGCAGAGCCATTGCCAATAGCTGAGGTTTATCGTTTGTCTCTCAGGCCAGCAGATGAGAAGCAAACATTGTGTCTCCAAGGGGAGAAAAAAAAAAACCCAGAAAGCAAAGTGCAGCAATCCACCATGTCTCATCCCTTGCCTCCATCTCGCCTTCCCTACTGTGAGTTCAAAAAAGCAGGGCAGGCCCAAGCTGGGGTCCTGTCCCCTGAAGCCTGGATAAAGCTGCTGCACCATTGTGGAACACTGGTGGCTCTGTCCTGGGAGACCCTTCTGAAGTGTTCTGGCCTGCCTTCCTCCCACACGTCCCCATTCAAATGACCAGGCTGTGCTATAGCTCCTTGTTCCCCCCTACTCTGTGTTAGTATAAATAATAGCTAATATTAAATACTATACAATGGAAATAAATGTATTTCCAGAAGCAGTTGTATATATCATACACTAATCAATTAAGCAGCTGGAAAAGTTGCTAAGATAACTCCCTAATTGTTCTGGTAATGCCAGTCAGTTGATACTACAATGCTTTTTAAAACATTTCAAACTATCATCTTACAGGAGTGCCTATGCAGCAATTGTGTTCTCTAGCACTACCTCAGGACACCTACACAGAGAGCAGACTGAAGACATACATTAAAGCATTACAATGGTCACATTTATTGTAAAGGAAGCAGCCCATGTTACTCCAACAAGCTGAACAGTGTTAAATCCACCCCTACTAAGTCTTATGGTTAATAAAAACCCACGAGAACCCCCAAACCCTACTGCAGGTGGGTTGTTATTTCACACTACAGTGTAATGCAGGTACAGCCACAGTAGAACCACCATCACAGTAGTTACTAACCTCCAGACACCTGGAGATGTCTCCAGGCACCTTAAATTTCTTAAGACATTTCATGACAGCAAGTGGCTGCTAAGTGGCAGCTGGAGTTACCCTGTCACACAACTAACAGGAGAGTGTGATGCCATCTTTTCTATTTCTTTATTTGCAAAGTCAATAAAAATCCACTGTTAGGAACATAACAGAGAAATGCTTCATTTGGAAAATAAAAGATGTGGAAGGCGAACAGGGACAGACCTAAGTTGCATTACAACTACATGAAATCTTGCAGGCAGAGAAGAGTCAGGGCAAGGGTGACCATATCACATCCTACCAAGCTGCTGCATGGAGCAGCTGCAGAATCTGCTTCACCCAGGCACATGCAGCTGAGCCTGTTCAGGAACTCACACAGCGGTTTACACACCTGCACCTAAACAGCATACACTGTGATACTGAACAGCATACAACTTGCTTTCCAGAGGTATGGTTACTCTGCCTGCCCAGAGCAATGCTGCGGCAGACATTCAACTATATGCCATCAAGAAGGTAATCTTTAGCTTTGTCTAAATACAGACACAGAGGCTGTGAAGCACCCACTACTTTACAGTTTTCTACCACTTACCTTGAAGCGAAATTTTCAGATTTAGGATTGATTTCTTTTTTGTAGGATTTTTTAATACTGGCCTATAAAATCTGTTGCTAATCAACCATCAAGGCACCTAAATCGATTCACAAATAATCCAGGCTTTAAAACCACAATATTCCACTCATATGCAGGCATGCCATTTGCAAAGGGAGCACCTGAAGGGAACCCATCCGGGGCCATGGGAGTATAACCACCAGATGGAAGATTCCCACCCTGCTGTAGCTGCTCTTTTGTGAGCTTCCTTCCATAAGGCTAAGCAGTGGCAGCAGTGAACACCTCACCTAAGCCAAGGTGTGCAGGCACTGTCCCAAGCCTTACAGAAGAGCAGCTCAAGGGAACACAGTGCTCACACACCTCTAGGGCCTCAGAGTGGTGCCTTTGCCGTGGCCAAAGCTCTCCTTCAAACCTCTCCTGGAGTCCCCTGGGCATTTCCTGGCACCACCTCACAAGATAAAAGAGAAACCCCAAGCTTCCCCTCCTCCACCAAGCACACACCAGCTCTCTTTAAAATACAGTTTTGTAAACACATTGCTCTAAATTTTGTTTCCATTAGCGTTTGGATTGCCTTTTGTTTTGTTTTTCAGCTGTAACACCACTAATGGTGGCCTGCTTCTGCTTTATTGACAAGGCAGTATTTCCCCCTGCACAACACACAAGGTATTCTTAGCACAGGTCCACTGCAGCCAGGTGTTGAGCAGCGACCGTGCTCCCCCTGGGGCACCTCAGGAGCTGACGACGTGCCCGGACCAGGTCTCGTGCTTGGTTCCAGGAGCCAAGTGGGTGATCACCACCTCCACTGCCTGCAGCTTCTCGTTCTTCGGGGGGATGGTGCACATCTTATAGGTGACCTCATCGCCTGCCACGGGAACATACTCGCCTTCGATGCTGTGGAGGGGAAGCTTCAGTTAATCATAAATCACATCAATGCTCTTTTGCAGCTTAAATTTCTTATCATGATTATCTTTTATGTCAATTATTATCAAGATTATTTCAGGAGGTCTTATAGAGCCCACCTTCCACCAAAGCCTGAGGCTGATTTTTGTCGCCTCGCAGCAAAATCCTATGAAAACGCTATGAACACCACCACACACAAACAACTCCCCACTTAGTATGGCTTAAAAACGAGCCTTGGAAAGCGCTGCGGGGAACCCTTCAGCCGCCTCTCCCTCGCCAGCAGCACTAGAGGGCAGGGCTGACACTGTCTGCCGCTCCATTTGAGGCTTGTGCTTTTAAACTAGAGAAGTTGGTGTGGGTTTTATTTTATTCTCTCGCATAAGCTTTTGAAGTTGGTTTGCCTGGGGTCCCCCCCTTTGCGTTGTTTCATGGTACAGACGGACTGCACCATGCCAAGCATTACTGTACCTTCAGGTTACACCACCACACAGTTTGTCTGGAGGATGAAAACAAAACTGGGTTTTTTCACAGCAAGTAATGTTGAAAGGAGCTCGGTGACACACTGCACCACAGGAACTGCCCCTGCACTCCGGAGGATTTCCAGCGGTCGCTCACTCCTACCCAGCCTCTTCCAGCATGAGGACATGGGATGCTGGAGGACTCACACCTGCGTTCCTTACTGTGAGTCCTTACTGGAGAGACAGGGGGAAATACAAGCGTACTGACAAGACACAACTGCCAAGGGTAACATCCTGCCTCCCTTCCACCCCTGCAGTCAAGATCAGAGCTTTGTAATAAAGCTCCCAGCATGTGCCAATGAAGGCAGACAGGCAGAGATGCCTTCCAACTCTCCTCTTACAACGTAGGCTCTGGATTGCTTGTTGTTTTCAGCAGCATTTGTATATGTGAACAGATAAACACTAATTGTAAATTATACTGGGTGCCCAACTGGTCTGACTTGCTCGTGTACCCCCTGTCACACTGGGAGCCAGATATGGGGTCAGGGCACAAGAAGAAAGCAAGTCTTCTAGGTCAGAAATGGGACAGACGCTGCTGGGTGTGTTACCTGCCTTCACTGGGAGCATACCCACACCACCAGGAATTTTACCCCACAACTGTTTCTGGGATCTAAAGACTACACCAGTGCCCTTAAATCTACTCTTGCCTTATGACCCATTCTTGTTACAGCTTTTCCATTGCAGGAAGACTGGCAGGACTGGTAGGAGATAACTATACTGGCCCCCACTGCCTGTATTAATTTCACATCAGATTTTGCTTCTCCCTGCTGTCTGCAAAACTTCTTCAGCTCCATCTCCTGCCCTGCCTCTCCAACACCCTTCTCCCTTTAAGGGCTGCCTCTGTTTCTGCTCCCCTCTGAC